TGTATGGAGCCACTAAAGACCCTGAATAGCCAAAGTAATGTTGAAAAAGAAAAACAAGGCAGAAGGCATCACAATCCTGGACTTTAACCTCTACTATGAAACTATAATCATCAAGGCAGTGTGGTATTGGCACAACAACAGATACACAGACTGATGGAATAGAATAGAGAATCCAGAAATGGACCCACAAATGTATGGCCAACTAATCTTTGACAAAGCAGGAAAGAGTATCCAATGGAAAAAAACCAGTCTCTTTAGCAAGTGGTGCTGGGAGAACTAGACAGCAACGTAAAGAAGAATGAAACTGGACCACCTTCTTATACCATACACAAAAATAAACTCAAAATAGATGAAAGACCTAGATATGAGACAGGAAACCATCAAAACCCTAGAGTAGAAAATAGGCAACAACATCTTTGACCTCAGCTGCAGCAACTTCTTACTCAACACATCTCCAAAGGCAGGGAAAATAAAAGCAAAAATGAACTATTGGGACCTCATCAAGATAAAAAGCTTCTGCACAGAAAAGTAAACAATCAACAAAACTAAAAGGTAACCAATGGAATGAGAGAAGAATTTGCAAATGACATATCAGATAAAGCGTTAGTATCCAAAATCCATACAGAAAATATCAAACTCAACACCCAAAAAACAAATAATCCAGTGAAGAAATGAGCAGAAGACATGGATAGACACTTTTCCAAAGAAGACATCCCGATGGCCAACAGACACATGAAAAGATCAGTCATCATCAGGGAAATACAAATCAAAACCACATTGAGATACCACCTCACACCAGCTAGAGTAGCAACAACAGATGTTGGTGAGGATGTGAAGAAACAGGAACCCTCTTGCACTGTTGGTGGGAATGCAAACTGGTGCAGAAACAGTGTAGAGGTTCCTCAAAAAAATTAAAAATAGAATTACCCTATGACCCAGCAATAGCACTACTAGGAATTTATCCAAAGGATACAGGAGTGCTGATTCATAGGGGCACATGTACCTTAGTGTTTATAGCAGCGCTATCAACAATTACCAAATTATGGGAAAAGTCCTAATGTCCAGCAACTGATGAATGGATAAAGATGTGGTATGTATATACAATGGAATACTACTTGGCGATGAATAAGAATGAAATCTTGCCATTTGCAGCAACATGGATAGAACTGGAGAGTATTAAGCTAAGTGAAATAAGTCAGTCAGAGGAAGACAGATATCATATGTTTTCACTCATATGTGGAATTTGAGAGACTTAACAGACCATAGGGGAAGAGAAGGGGGAAAATAGTTTCAAACAGAGAAGGAAGCAAATCATAAGAGACTGTTAAATACAGAGAACAACCTGAGGGTTGAAGGGGGGGGGGTGAGGGAGGAGGAGAAAATGGGTGATGGGCATTGAGGAGGGCACTTGTTGGATGAGCGCTGGGTATTGTATGTAAGTGATGAATCATGGGAATCTACTCCTGAAACCAAGGACACAGTGTATACACTGCATGTTAGCTTGGAACAATGGAACATTGGATTCCACTTGAAATCCACAAAATGAGAGGAAATCCCACTGTCAATCTGTACAATAAACATTAGTAAAATTGAATTTTTATTAAATATGAAAAAATATATGTAAGCTTAAATGATGCTGCAATAAACATAAAGCTGCATATACCTTTAAAAAAAAAAAAAAGAAAAAATACGTATGTAAGCTTAAATGTTTTCTCTTCTCTCCCCAGTAGATGGTCTTGCACATTCCCTGAGTTATGTATATTCCATTTGGGGGACCATCATGTTAGAAAATGAATCTATAATCTGATAACCAACTTTTTAAAAGAAAAATGGTAAATATCAGAAATAGGGAAGAGAAGGAGAAGAATCAAGGATAGCACTGAAATTATTTTTACCGGAATACTTCTCTCTAGCTCCTAATTAAGCAGGCCTTGCCAATATCCTCTCTCTATGAAGTTAAACAAATTTACATTAATATCAGACTGCATTTCCTTTAAAACCCAATATATAGCATCTTCATTTCCACAGTATCATTAAAATCTACATTTGATGGAAGCAGCAAGTGGATGACTGTAAATACACCCCATGGCTGTAAATACATATTGAACACTAAGTTCTGCTTGTTTCTACTGCTTCCATCATGCCAAAATCCTGCAAACCCTTCTTTTCCTTTTTCATTTTCTTCTAATTTTTTCTTCTATCATATTAACCACTCACATGGTTAAGTTCCTATTCTTTCCATGTTTTTGTCTTTACATATATTCTCTATACCACCTTGTCCCCTGAAGTGCTCTCTCATGTTACTTTTTTAAAAATGTGTGAACCTCTTTCATTAGGTGTATCAAAATAGAGTTTCCTTCAAAGTACAGGGATACAGGGGCACCTGGGTGGCTCTGTCGGTTGAGCATCTGACCCTTGATTTCAACTCAGGTCATGATCTCATGGTTCCCAACCACGAGCCCCAACTTGAGTCTCACGTTGAGCCCCCGTGTCAGGCTCCATGCTGACAGTCTGACAGCACAGTCTGCCTGGGATTCTCTCTGTCCCTATCTCTCTGCCCCATGTGCACGTGTGTGTTCTCTCTCTAGCTCTCTAAATTAAATAAACTTTAAAAGCAAAACAAAGTACAGGAATACAGAAAAATTACTATATTCACTATTTGTTGTTTTTCATTAAATATTACATGCCATAATTTAGATTTTTAAAAATCCTTACAGTTTACTTCAAGCATAATTAGATAGTTCTGAGAAAATACCCAAAGAATAATTCTATGGCATCTTATACTACTTATCACATAGCAACATGATAGCTAATGTAATATAGTGGTTACTATGGAGTCAGACCTGGGTCGAAAATTTAACTCTGGAACTTACTAGCTGTGCCATCATAGGCTTTGTTACTTTACTATGGACTTGCCTTACATACAAAATGGGGCTAATAATACTTTTACATATAATCATCTACAGTGCTTATTTATGAGGCTAATACTTAATTAACATTATTTCCAATTGTCCTTTGATCATACATTTTAAGAATGAGTATCACATTTAACTGGTTCTAGTCCAAGCAATGGCAGTAGCTAAGATGACAGTGATTTGTGTGCTTTGCAGCTCCCAAGGAATTAAAGCAATAGTTTTCATATTAATAGAATATAAGGAAAACTTCACTCCTTGCTTCCAGAAAAAATTGTGATAGATAAAACTCAAAAATAGGAGAAAAAAATTGTTTTTCTCTATCATAAATGTGTCAAGCACTGCACTTTCCATCTTTTCTGCACCTAACCCAGCAAATGAGTTTACTCATAGCTATTCAGGGTATCTACTTTTTTTTTTTCTTTTTAAGTAAGTTCTACACCCAACGTGGGGCTTGAACTTATGACCCTGAGATCAAGAGTCACACACTATATTGATTGAGCAAGCCAGGCACCCCAGGTTACCTACTTCTTAAGTGAGCTTTGATAGTTTTGTCTTTTTATGTTTATTTATTTTTGAGAGCGAGAGAGAGACAGAGGGTACCCATAAGATTTTAATCTCTACACTCAATGTGGGGCTCAAATTCACACTCCCAAGATCAAGAGTCATATGCTCCACCAACTGAGGCAGTCAGGTGCCCCTAACAAGCTGTGTTTTAATTGGAAAGTTTTAGAGTTTCAATTTTAGACCACTTACATTTAATGTAATTATTCATATGATTAAGTTTAAATCTACCATCTTGCTATTTTTATTTTTCCTCTTGCTCTTTGTTCCTTTTTAAACACTTTCCTTATCTTTTGCAGTCTTTTTTTATTATTTCATTTAACCACATTCCATTTACTACTATCAGCTTATTAGGAATTCTCACCTCATGTATTTACTGATTTCTCAAGTTTAGGTTTATAAAGAAGAAATTAACAAAGGAAAAAAATATCCTGGAGTTTTATATTAACTTTGTTATTCAAGAAAAAATATTACCTCTCTTCAACAAGCTCAGTTTTAAGTCTCAACTTTACTTAGAAATTTAATTAAAATTTAAAAATTCAATGTAGGAAAAATGTGGTTTATTGTTAGAAATACAGGGGGAAAATGTCAAACTTTTCACATCATGAGGATAATGAGAACTAAGGCAAGAGTAGATAACATCACAATAAAGAAAAATGAACACAGTACATGGATATGTCAACCAGAACTGGGCTGTAAATTGTTTTATAGTATAATCTATACCACCTGCGGAGGATGGTGAAAACAGCAAGGCCAATTCCTATCTAAAAACATACTGGAGTGCACTCATGTTCATAGTAGCATTATTCACAATAGATAAAATGTAGAAGCAAACCATGTGTCCATCAATGGTTGAATGGATAAGCAAAATTTAGCATACACATACAATAGAATACTATTCAGATTTAAAAAGAAAGGAAATTCTGACCCATGCTACAATATGGATGAAACTTGAGGACATTATGCTAAGTGAAATAAGCCAGTTACAAAGGGACAAATACTTTATGGTTCCATTTAGCAGGTACTTTTGAGTAGTCAAAATTATAGAGACAGAAAGTGGAACAGTGGTTGCCAAGGGCTGGGAGATGGGGAAATGGGGACTTATTTAATAGGTGTAGACTTTCATTTTAAAAGATGAAAAGTTATGGGGATGGATGGTGGTTATGGTTACACATTTTAAATGTATTTAGTACTACAGACTGCACACTTAAAAGTAGTTAGATGGCAAACATTATGACAACTAAAAAAACCTGAAAAAACAGAAAACAAAACCTGTTAAAACATATCCATTTGGTCAGATATATGCTAATGTTCTGATTGTGCAGAATGCACAACTGCTGGTACTCAATCCCCCACATATTTCAAACCAAATCTGATATGGCTTGAGACTTTAAATAATCTCTACACCAAATGTGGGGCTTGAACCCATGACCCCAACATCTAGAGTCCCATGCTCTACCAACTGAGCCACCCACATGCCGCAAGACATTTTTTTTTTTTTAATGACAAAAAAGACCAGCAAATGTATTCATACTTTATTAAATCTTAATAGTATTTTTAGGGAAAAACACACAGATGAGTAGGCTACATTGAAGAAATCTTATTTTTATAGGAGAGTTAAGAAGCCTTTAAGATACTTTCAGGTATTATCTTCAATGATGCTTCTTCTCTTTTTTCTGGGACTCCAGGTAATATTCAGCCCCTACAGCTACCACAAATGCAGCAAATCCCCATTTGAATCCTTTTAATAATGCACCAACAAAGGAAACATTGTTTGCAAAGCCACCCATGTATCTCCAAGCTTCATTGCTAGAGGAAAAAAAAGGGAAAATTATAATCACACATAACTTATGTACATTCACTGAGTAAAACAGACTTAATTTTCATCTAACAGACTTAAATGCAACCCTATATAAGATAATCTAAGTGGATCACAATAGGAGTCTTTTGTGACATAAGATAATTAGGTCTATATGCCCACGTTTCACATATAAAACAGAAGAAAAAAGACTTGATGATTTCACACTTCACAGCCATTAATAATCAATCAGGATTTTATAGAATTCCCAAATGTAAGACTCACTTCAGCCTATTCATTACCGGTCAGCTGTGTGGCTTTGCCCATATCAGTCATTACAGCATCATATAAAGAGAAGTTAGAAACTTGGGTATTAAACTTTGCTCTGCCACTTAGATTCTTCACAGCCTCTTAGGCTGCACAAGTTACTTAACCTGTCAGGGCTCGCTTCCACTTTTACTCAATGATGATTACTATCTACCTTATAGTGTTATTATAAAGATTAAACAGGGTAAAGTATGATATATTCTGGCACAGAGGGTATGTAACACTCAACATTATTATTACTATTCCAGAGGCTCACAGCTTTTCCCTGTCATAGCAGACTGAGCTTTAGAAGACTGACTTCCTGCTCTGGCAATCATTCTTCAGAGTATCCTGAACAGAGAAGTAAACAGAAGTCAAAGCCCTTAGTGAAAAAAAGTCTCTCACAGATAGGGATGAATAAGTGGAAAAAATCATGTTATAAAAAACAAAATACACTTAAACTCTAAAAAATCTGACTTACTAGAATACATGACAGCTAATCACATCTAATTCAGATACCAAATCCAGACAAAGATATCAGAAGAAAACTATAGAATAATATCCATCATGAACATAGATGCAAATATTCTCCACAGAATTTTGGAAAACTGAATCCAGTAATATATGAAAGGATACTAACATCATGATGAAAGGTTTATAGTTCAGGAATGCAAGATTTGGTTTGAGATTTTAAAATCAATAAGAGGGGCGCCTGGCTGGCGCAGTCGGTTAAGCGTCCGACTTCAGCCAGGTCACGATCTCGCGGTCCGTGAGTTCGAGCCCCGCATCAGGCTCTGGGCTGATGGCTCAGAGCCTGGAGCCTGTTTCCGATTCTGTGTCTCCCTCTCTCTCTGCCCCTCCCCCATTCATGCTCTGTCTCTCTCTGTCCCAAAAATAAATAAACGTTGGGAAAAAAAAATAAATAAAATCAGTAAGAGTAATTCATCATATTAACAGAATAAAAAAACAATGTGAGCATCTCAGTAGCTGCAGAAAAAGCATTTACCACCAAAGAGAACTCCACAACTTGATGAAGGGCAGGCATCTATGACCACCCTCCAACTAATATATTTAGTGGTGAAAGACTGAATGTTTTCCCCCAATTAGCAACAAGGCAAGGATATCTGCTTACACCACTTTTATTCAACATTATACTAGCAGTGTTAGCCAGAGTAATAATACAAGAAATAAAAAGTTTACAAATTGAAAAGGAGGAAGTAACACTGATTTTAGGCAAAAGGATCATTAAGTAAATTCTTAGAAATCTGTAAAAAAAATCTGTTAGAAGAAAAATGTGAATTTAGCAAAGTAACAAGATACAAAGTCAATCTATAAAACTCAATTGTGTTTTCACATATTAGCAAAGAAAATTGAAAATTTATGTTTAACAATACCATTTACAATAGCACAAAAATATGGAATTCAAGATAAAATTAACAAAATCTACATAAGACTTGTATACAAAATAAAACACTGCTGAGAAAATTAAACAGAATCTAAACTGTCCATAGACTTCAAGACTCAATAGTGTTAAGACACCAAGTTTCTTTTTCTTTAGTTTTTATTTAAATTCCAGTTAGTTAACAGTGTAGTATTAGTTTCAGGTATACTATATAGTGATTCAACTTGTTAAGACATCAATTATCCCTAATTGAGCTATGAATTAATGTGATCTCAATTAAAATTCAAGCAGCCCTAGTAGAAACTGAAAAGCTCGTTTTAAAATTTAAAAAACAATTAAAAAAAAGAAAGAAAAGGAACTTAGATACTGATCCTCTAGAATAAATTCTATCTGAATTATTTAATTATTCTTACCGGCCCCATGGATCCCTTAGCCCTCGTGCAGCCAGCTTCTCCTGGACAGTTTCTAATGGTGTCCCTTCTATCTTCCATTGTTTATAATCTGGAAGTTTTAGTTTACCATGACCATGTTCATGTCCATGTCCATGGGCCATGTCTAAACGATAAGATTAACATAAAAGAGAAATATGCAGATGGTAGATATCAAGCACCCAAGTTTACTATGCAAATTGTAGATATAAAATACCTAAACATTTGTTAATATTTTAAAAGAGTCAAATAAATACTTGAAAATTCTGAGTTAATAGGTTTTACAAACAGCATCTTATTACATAACTAGTTTATGTTCACTTAGGAAATACACATGTACAAATTTTAAAAAGAAAAAGTCAATATTCCCACCATTGAGAGATAGCCATTTACTTTTGTTCCTTTCATTTTAAGAACAGCAAACATTTATTGTGCTCTCTGCCAGGAGCACCAAAGTGCTTTAACATGTATTAACTCCATTACTCCTAAAACAACTCTTTGAACTTAAATTCCAGTAACTGTCACCATTTTACAGATGGAGACAATGAAGCTCCAATAAGGCAACTTTCTGAAGGTAACAAAAGTCGTAAATGGTCCAACTGGTTTTGAACCTTGCAGTTTGGTTTCACAGCCCTTGCCTCTAACTTCCAAGCAATAATACTGTTCCTCCTTTCTAGTCCTTTTATAATGTGTAAATATGCATAGCGACAATGTTGTACATACTGTTTTGTTACCTGCTTTGTTTAGATGATTCTTTTAAAATGCAGTGTTACTGTGTTTAAGTATGTAAGATCATATGCACTTTTTCTGTAAAGAGCCAGATAGTAAACATCTTGGCCTTTGTGAAACAAAAGGTAAAATCAAGGATATTTTGTAGGTGGGGCGCCTGGGTGGCTCAGTCAGTTAAGCGTCTGAATCTTGGTTTCAGCTCAAGTCATGATCTGTTTGTGAGCTGGAGCCCCACCTTCAGTGCAGAGTCTGCTTAGAATTTCTCTCTCCCTGTCTCTCTTTGCTCCTCCCTGGCTTGCTCTCTCTCTCTCTCTCAAACAATAAATAAATAAACATTTTTTAAAAAGGGTGTTTTGTAAGTAATTACATAATGAGAGAAAAAATTTTTTTTCAAAATATAAGAATAACTGAGTACAATTTTTTGTAAAACAGGTCTGATGAAAAAAATGAAATTCCCTTTTTTTAGGGATAGTATTTTGCTTAACTGGGGCATAAAGTTAGTGTTCCTTAGTTATCAAATTCATTCCAAACGTTCATCTGTAAAAACCAGTCTCAGCTCACGGGCAGTACACAAACAGGCAATGGGCTGGATTTGCCCAGCAGGCTTTGGTTCGCTGACTACTGAATTAGATCAACGGAGACCTTAGGACTCCAAAGGCTCCTTAAATAAAATATGCCTGTAATGGTTATAATAAAGACCAAATTTACTAGTGTTTTTTGTTTGTTTGTTTATTTATAATCTCTACACTCAAGGTGGGGCTTGACACCCCCAGATCAAGAGTCACATGCTCTACTGACTGAGCCAGGCAGGAGCCCCACCCACTAGTGTTACTGTTATAGATAATGTAAAAATAAACTTCAGGTCAGTCCCCAGTTAAATTGCTATGAATTTCAAATTAAGGGGGTATGAATTAATACCCCCTTTTCTTTACGGTTACCAGTAGCATTCTATAATCACCACTCTCCAGAAATAAAACCAAACCAAATAATCACTACCATTATTTCTGCATTTATAACTATGAACAGGCCAAATAATAAGGCAGGGCTCTTACACTGCATTTTAGAAGACAGAGGTAATTATTACATAGTGTATACTAAAGACACATTATGTGAAATGCTCATACCATTAAAAAATAGTTCTCAGAATATGGGGGGAGGGTGGGAATTATACATAGTAATTCTGACAAATTAACCAACCTTTATATTTAGACATATTAAGATAATCACAAAACATTAGTTTGATGATTTTTACATTTAAAAAAGAATAAAAAACAAGCTACCAAACACAAGCTAGAACAACATTCACAATTTCAAGTGAAAACATTTGATCCATTATTTCATTATTATTATTATTTGGTGGATTCAATAATATAAAGGGAAAAAAATTACAGTTTCAGATTTCAGGCTAACTTTTGAGATTCAATACATTATTATAAAAGAAATAATTTTAGAAGTATTTAATTAGAATGATGTCTTGGCTTCTTCAAACCATGTTTTAAAAAACTTTTTTTGTTTGATGTTTCATTCAAATATCTTTAAAGAGATTACAAGACAAACCCTCATTTTGGCAAATATCAATTCTAGAATATTAACTCTAATTGACCATCGATATACTTGGAAAAGAATACAAAACATCAACATTTTTTGATAAAATAACTTGACTTGGGAAAATGAAAATGGAAGCATTACCATGCATGAAGGCTATTTCAAAGTTACAATATTACTATGTTCAAAATACTAAGTAATGTGGGAGATAAATCTTTGAAAGAAAACATGAAAGTATACATACACTCATTTCTCCTAATTTCTTTTAATAAATTCAATGTGTTTTCTCTTTTACCTCATTAAAATATTTCAGAAAGAGTCCCTTACTAAATCAAATATTTCAACGACTTTTCAAAAAGTTGAACACAATTTCTAGGGAAACTTTTGTTTTCTTTTAAAAATTATTTCCACTTATATTCATACAATGGAGTATTACTCAATAATCAGAAAGAATGAAATCTTGCCATTTGCAGCTATGTGGATGGAACTGGAGGGTATTACGCTAAGTGAAATTAGTCAGAGAAAGAAATGACTTTACTCATATGAGGGCTTTAAGAGACAAAACAGATGAACATACGGGAAAGGAAACAAAAATAATATAAAAACAGGGAGGGGGACAAAACAGAAAAGACTCATAAATATGGAGAACAAACTGAGGGTTGCTGGAGGGGTTGTGGGAGGGCAGATGGGCTAAATGGGTAAGGGGCACCAAGGAATCTACTCCTGAAATCATTGTTTCACTATATGCTAACTAATTTGGATGTAAATTAAAAAAAATAAAAAATATAATTAAAAAAAAAAGAATACAAACACAGGAAAAAAAAATTATTTCCACTTCCAATAGTCATAAATCAAACAATGATATCCTGATCACTTGAAGGAAGTTCAGAATTCTGCTTAAGTGCAGACTTTAGTGCTATATAGATCTGACATCAAGTCCTGGATGCACCATTAATAGCTATAAACTCCTGGGCCTATCATTTAATCTCTCTGAACTTGTTTCCTCATATAACATGAGCATAAAACCTACCCTGCAAGATTGTGAGATTTGGGGAAAACACATTGTGATGTGCTTTCCACTTTCGTACCCAGGTGGTAAAAATGTGACTTAGCACAACCATTGTGAAAAACTGGCCTGACCTAGAAATGTTGAACATCTGAATACCTTAAGGTCTAGACCTGCCCTATTCACTATCATAGCCACTAGGACTTAAAGTGTGGCTAGAATTTTTATGTCATTTTAATTTAAATTTAAAATCGGATCCTCAAGTCAGTTATTGGAAATTTTTTTTTATGTTTACTTATTATTTTTGAGAGAGAGAGAGGAGAATGAGCGGGGCAGAGAGAGAGAGAGAGAGAAAGAGAGAGAGAGAGAGACAGAATCTGAAGCAGGCTCCAAGCTCTGAGCTGTCAGCACAGAACCCAACACAGGGCTCGAACCCACAAACCACAAGATCATGATCTGAGCTGAAGTCAGACACATACTTAACTGCCGGAGCTACCCAGGTGCCCTACAAAATTTGTTTTTAAGGTTTATTTATTTTTGAGAGAAAGTGTGCAAGGGGGAAGGGGCAGAGAAGGGGGGGCGGGGACAGACAATCCGAAGCAGGTTCTGTGCTGACAGCAGCAGGCCTGATGCAGGGCTCAAATGCATGCACCGTGAGATCATGATCTGAGCCAAAGCCGATCGCTCAACCAACAGAGCAACCCAGATGCCACAGTTACTGAAAAATTTTTAAAGTGTGTTTGGAACAATTCAGGTGAACAAATCTGTTTTTTCAACTGTAAACTTTACAAAATATAAAAACTGGATCAAGTGTTTATATTTATGAAAACTTACAAAACAAAAATATTCTGCAAGTGTAACATACATTGGTTTTGAGATGGTATAAAGAAAATGTAAAATATTTCATTAATAACTTTTAATACTGATTACATCCTGAAATAATATTTGAATATACTGGGTTAGATAAAATATATAATTAATTGTTTCTTTTTACCTTTTTAATATGGTTACTAGAAAACTGTAAATTATATGAGCCTTGCCTTATATTTGGATAGCACTGTTATTAAAAAAACTCATGTTTTTTTATATGTAACAATAGAAATATACATATATTTTTAACAATATATGTATTTTATAAAAATCTTTTTAGCCACATTGTTTATGTGGCTAGCCCCAAACTGTAAATGACCCTAACATCCCACATTAATGGATTAATTATGGAATAGACACATTACAGAATACGTAATGAAAAACTACATGCAAAAGTATGAACAAATCTCACAAATAAAGAAGGGAGAGTAAAAAAAAAAGATAAATACACTTTGATCCCATTTATATAAATTGAAAAGCCAAACAATTCATTTTTTAGAAATGCATCATAGATGGAAAAATTAAAGTAAAAAAAAAAAAGCAAAGTAAAAAAAGTGAATGTTTATGACAAGTCAGGACAGTAGTACATCTTGGTGAAGGAGGTAGAATCACAGAAGCTCAGACAGGGAGCTTCTAAGGCAGTGTTTTTCAATCTAGTTTTTAATTCTTGCACCCCAAAGGAGCATTTTTGGATATTTTTTTTCCCTTATGATGTTTTCATTCCTCCCCCTCCAATGAAATTTTAATACCACAGATATACTGTATATCTGCTTACATTCCATGGCTCTTTGGAGGGCCACAAACCATTGTAGTCTTTGTTATTTGTTTTGTCTTTAAGATTTTTTTTCACCTCTCCTCCAAGAACAAATTTTCACCTCCTTGAAGGGCAATCACCTCTGCTGAAAATGCAAGTTCTAAGTTATTGGCAATGCTTTATTTTCTAACCTGAAGGGTGGTTACACAGGGTTTGCTTAATTATAATTATTTAAATGTATTTATGTTTTATACACCCTTCTGTTATGTAAACTTCATAATAAAAACTAAAATTAGATAAAATAACAAATTATGCCAAGGACTCTACAACGGATAATTATTTCAGTTTCAGAACCGTTCAGACAAAAAAATCCAGCAAGGTCATTAGTGCTACAAAGAAAGAACATGTGATCATGAAATTTTAAAAAAGCTATCTTCTTGTGTTTGGAGTGAACCTGTAATTTGGTGACCAACCTCCACTAACCTGGGCTGGCATATTTTCCCTAACTATGAAATAAGAGGATAATAGGGGCACCTAGGTGGCTCAGTTGGTTGAGCATCCAGCTTCATTCAGCTCAGGTCATGATCTCACAGCTCCTGAGTTTGAGACCCCCATCCGGCTCTGTGCTGACAGTTCACAGCCTGGAACCTGCTTCGGATTCTGTGTCTCCTACTCTTTCTCTCTCTCTCTGCCCCTACTCCACTCATGCTCTCTCTAAAATAAATAAACATTAAAAAACAAAAGCTTAAAAACAATTTAAAAAATGAGGATAATGCCACTTACAGTACATGTAATTTTATGGTTTTCCAACGACTTTCAAGTACATATCCCAACTACCCCTCATTTTTAAACTTGTGAATAAGAACATTAGAAAATAAAAGACAAGTGAACTTTTAGTGTCCCCCCCCCCAGTCCCTGCGCCTACTTATGTGTAATTTAAAAATAGTAACCACTCTATAAAATTGAATGTGATTTTCGTACACTGCTTTCTTCATAAACATTCACACCAGAAAAGCCTTGCCTTAAAACCATACATGCTTGTTGTGAGGCAGATATTGCAATTATTCTTATTTTACAATTTCTAGATTTGAGGCTGTTCTGATTTTATTCAGTTCAAAGGTAAACCAGAAAACATGCGGCGGGGGTTTGCGGGTGGGAAAGGAGGAAAAAAGTATAAGCACAGTAACTCTCACCACTTTCTTCTACAAACTACCCCTAATTACCCCCAGGACTTCATTGTTCTCTCTTGCTAGTTCTTCGATCTTCTTCCCTCGAGGTACATACTCTCAGGATCTTTCCCCGTTTAGTCTCTCCCTTTTTTTACAATCCCCAGAATACAGTCTCACTCTTATTCCTGATCAAGAAGTCTCCCACCAACTCTAATTTACCTGACAGCAATCTGACCTCTCACGACACTCAATTAACCCTCCAGCCGGAGCCAAGCGGAAACGGAAATTGTCGCCTGAGTGACTTACCGCAGGAAAGCAGAGAGGCCATTTAACGTTCCGCACTGGGTCACGGATTCCTGGACTCAGTGGAGAGTACATGGAGAATGCTGGAAGCCGACATTTTTTTCTGCACACCTGTGCATCAGTGGTCTGACTGAGGTAAGAGTAATTGTAGAGGACAGAATGGCAGGGAAAGAGTGATGTTTTCCTTGCTTGGAGACCGGAATCCTTAGACACTGCACAGAGGGGAGGACCGCAGACATACTCCAGCCAATAAGTGAGGCAGTTGTTGAGCGCGGACTCACCCAATGGGAAGGCTGGTTGTTGCGCTGCAGTTGGCAGGCTGCTGCGGGAGGCGGTGGCGGTAAGAAGCCGGAGGCAGCGGGGTGACAGGTAGGCGGCGGCGCTGTCTTTGGGGGACGCAGAGTGCCAGGTCAGGACGGTTTTTCTTCTCTCGGCTGCAGGAACTGACGAGGGGGGTCTGGGGAGGGGGCAGCTGGAGTGTTGGTGGTTCCGGAACCTCGCGTAGACAAGGTAGCTTGGGAGGGTCGTGAGGAGAAGGCAGCTGAGGCGGGTGGAGGCTGAACCTTGCGGGGCGACGAGGGGGCCTAGGGCGTGGGGGGCTGCGGTGGCGCTGGCAGAGAGAGGAGAGAGGCAGGAGCAAGACGGTATCATGAGGGCTGGACGACTTCCTTGCATGAAGCTCCAAGAGAGAAAAGGACGCGGCATTGCAGGCACCTGAGAGAAATCCTAGGAATTGCTTCTTATGGCCATTTCCCGGGGTGGGAAGGGTGTGTGGAGAAGAAACATTTACTGGCGGTCAGATCCTTCAAACTCTTTATAGCTATACATTATGTAATCGTTGGCTATCATTTACCCAAATAACTAGGTTGTCGCTCTTGGAAGAGGTCTTGCAACCTATTGATGTGTCAGAATAGTTTTTTCGTTGGTTTGAGTGGTTTCTACCTTGGCAGTCTCTGTAGGTGAAGAAGCATGAAGGGTAGAGTAATCAGGAAGAGCTTATCCCAAATACGGATTTGGGTTGAGAGATAAGGTTAGTTTGAGACGAGCGGCTAGGTTCGTGTTTGTATAGTTCATGAATTTATTTGTTTTGAGGGTCAAGGTTGATTACAAATACTTTTTTTTTTTAATCTTCAGGAGAGCTGGGAAATTGCAAAATCTATATAGTAGGTAGATGCGAAGTTGAGAAAATAGCTAGAAAATTGATTTTGCCTTTCATTTCTTTAATTTTAATGAATGTTAGGGCTATGAAAATAAGGTGGTGGTTTGAAGGAGGTAGGGCGGGGAAGTCATCTTTTAAGTAATTTGCTTTTTAAGTCTGATGAACTAGTTATGAATTGTTTCTTAGGTTTAATAAGTATGCTCTTTGAACCTTTCCTACTGAAGTAAAATGTATTTACAGACATAATTAACTGTAAATTAACATTTTTTGAGTTTTTATAATTGTTTGCACAGTGCAATGTAGAATAAAATAGGAGTTCCATTCCGTGGGTGTTACCAAAGGTCGAACTACATTTTGCTATAAAATCTGATTTTATAGCCCACTGGAGAGGTGTTTTAAAAGAAGCATTATAAATTGCTAAAATTTAAGCTGATTGAAATGTAGCCTGTAGCTGAGAAGATAAAGACTAATGTAGTATGAGCAAGTGTATAATTTTCCTTTTTGTATTAATGATAATTTATATTAGTATATCCCAGAACCTAAATTAAAAGACTTGCTTTTTTCTCTAAATATCATTTGGTAAAGAGAGGTGGATCATTGGAGTTTGTTCTGAAATGTTTAGAGTACTGAGATATTTATCAGTACTTCAGATAAAAATTTTGGTACTTGGTGTTTCACTCATTGTCTTTTTACCTTTTTGCAAGAGTAATTCTATCTCAGTCACAAAGAGTACTTCTGCTTCTATTTTGGGTGCATTTCTGTAGTGTGAGTACCTGTGAACAAATCTCTGCTTTTTTGCAGGATGGTGTGCGTGTCTGTGTGTTTTCTGTGTGTATGTATGTGTTTCTTCTTCTTATGTAACCAGCCTGCTAGAGCTGTCTTAGAGAACTAATGGCTGATGTTGAATGGCCAGTAGGTGTCATTGTAGAATGCAACAGAGTTGAACATTGGGTAGGAAATTACCAAGTGATTTAAAAAACACTAGTCAGAATTAGAATATAATAATAATTGGCTTATTATTTCCACATCATTAGAAGCCCAGTTTTCTGACACATTTCAGTATTGGAGCTGTTTATAAGGAATTTGAAACACTGGGTGTAAAGAAATAAAATTTTTTGCTCTAAAATAGACCTTCAAAGCTTTTTTAACCCAACTGTTAAGCCATCTTGATATGCAATATGGATTTGGGTTTGTTTGAATGTTTTTAATTCACAGTTTTGGCATTTAATAGTGTTTTATTAAGTTCTATAATGATTAAGATTTTCAGCTTGACTGAGCTTTATAATAGAAAAACCAATGCCACATAATAAAACACTAACATAATAAAATGTGGACAGAAAGTCTCCAAACAAGTTACTAGCTGCACACAAAAAAGTACTTTGTTGTTGTTCTTTTAATGCAAGAACAGAGGAATTTCTGTCTTTCATTCTTTGTGGCTTCTTAGTTTTTCTCATGTTTAAAATAGCTTCTTTTTATATTTTTATCCTGCTGGTAGACTATGTGCTTTCTCAGGATGATGACCGGAGTATTTGTCATTGTCTGAAATGTAACGTAATGAATTCTGGAGGGAGCAGGCATAGAAAGCTCTGAAGGTGGCTTACAACTGGTGTGAGTACAGCCCTTACCTGCTGAGCCTTCTACTGAGCTCTTTTCTCTTTGTAGCTCTGGTCCTTTGCCTGCTGTTGATACAGTGTTTAAAAATAGAGTTGGACCTAATTCAGAAATTCTCCATGAAGGTGGCGAGTTACATATGTATCAGAATAATTTAGGAGCTTAAAAAAAAAAAAATCATACGCACATATCCATTATATCACCTCCACTTCGCTTCAGATAGGGGGAATATGAAGGGAGGTAGATATATTTTGAAGAAAAAAAGACCCTCCTAGATGATATGGTTCATCACTGGCTTCCACTTTAGAATTATTCATCTAATTCACGGCTCTCATACTTGTGTAAAATAGCAATAGTAGTTTTCACTTGAAAAGAAAGGGCTGCCAAATCAACCAATATTTTTATAGCTCAATAAAATTTCACCATTTAATGTCATATTTGGGGTAGATTTTCTAGCCAGGAGCTAAAATTTCCAGAAATAAAAATTGTGTTGAATGTTTTGGTTTGGATTAGTTTTTACTTGGCAGTTAGCTGCTTTCCATAAACCAAGCTAATTTCTTCCACGATTCAGACCTGTGCTGATTTGCACAGATATTTAGTCATGTCTTGTTCTTTTAATGTCTCTGAAAGCTATCTAGTTTTAGAACCAAACTAGAATTGGACCAAAGTCCATACCTTACATTAGGGTTCAGTCTTGGTATTGTACATTGGACAAATGCAAAATGACATGTATCTATCATTACGGTATTAAACAGTAGTAATAAAGCTTTTTAATCAGAATGTATTCCTTTTGTAGTTACTTCTGTCTAAATGAAAATGGGAGTGGAGAGTATACTGTGGTTCTTTCTACTTGATAATTGTAAAATCTAAAGTTAATATGAATTTGCAGTCTATCATAGTACCTACTGCTTTATTGTTTGTGGAAAAACACTAGCAGTGAATGTTTCTGTTCAGAGTTCTGTGGTCAGATCTCTTGTCATTCTGTACCTTGTTCTTTTGATTTTGTTTGCTCAGTTAGCATCTAAATGTGATGATTCTTAAATCTGAGTCTTTAATCCAGAGCTTTTTCTTGATTTCTGGTTCCTATCCTATAAACCTAATTGCTTTCTAGATGAGAATGACCTGCAAGTCCCTCAAATAAAGTATGTCTAAAAGTGAATTCATGTTTTATTCTTTTATCATCTATGTGGTAAAGCTGGAACCTTGTATTATCTTTGACACTTTTTATTCATATACCCCTCATGTCAATAATGTTAGGTTCTGTGGACTCTACCTTCTTAGTACTTTTTACTTCTCTCAATTTCTATAACCTTTAAAAAAAGTATGAAGAGTTAGGACTTAGAGGTGTACTATCTAGATTAGAATTTGAGATCTACATTTGTAGCCTCAATTTCTTTGTTTAAAAACAGAGTTGTACAACTGTCCAATTGCATTCTTAGGCATTTATTCCAGAGAAATTGAAACTTATATTCATACAAAACCTGTATATAAATGTTCATAGCAACTTTATTACAAATAGCTCCAAACTGGAAACAATTCAAATGTTCTTCAACAAGTGAATGGTTACACAAACTGGCACATTTATACCATGGACCACTAGAACGAGCAATAAAAAAGAACGAGCTACTGATACATACAACATCCTGGAAGACTCTCAAGTGAAAAAAGCCACTCTCAAAAGGTTACATACTGTATGATTCCATGTATATAATGTTCTTTAAATAACAAAATTGTAGTGATGAAGGGCAGATTAATCATTACCAGGGGTTAGGAACCAGGGAGAGGGGAGCCTCTTGATAGAACAGTTCTGTATCTTGATTGTGGCAGTCGTTACACAAATATACATATGTTATAAAATTGTACAAAACTACACACACACACACATACACACACAAATGAGTGCTTATATAACTGGTGATAACCTGAATAACCTCTGTAGACTGTACCAATGTGAATTTCCTGGTCTTGATATTTTATCATAGTTATGCAAGATGTTACCATTGGGGGAAAGTAGACCAAGGGTACCTGGGACCTCCTGGCACATATTTTGGGAACTTCCTGTGAGTCTATTTCAAAATAAAAAAATTTTGAAGGGTAATTACAAAGATTAAATGAGAAAATATAAGTAAGGTTCTTATTACAGTACTTCGTGCATCATAAATACACAATAAATATAATAGTAGTAGCAGCAGCAGTAATGATAGTTCAGGCCTCT